TTAAACTGAAATTTTCTGTTTGTTTGACATTCTGTGTTCTGCATTTTATTTGACAACCTAGCCTTGATTGCTCCTCCCTCCTGCCCTGGGGAGGTCCCTTAGAACTACTCCCTAACTCAAAGGTACAGCCACAAATCCTGTCCTAAACATCAATGAATAAGAACCAAGAGCCAGGTGTGGTAATACACGCCTGTAGTTTCAGTACTTGGAAGGCTAGGAGCAGGATTGCAGGGTCAGGGCCAGCCTGTTCTACACAATGAGTTCAAGGCTAGCCTTGGCTACGTAGCTAGACTCTGTCTCAAAACAATAACAAAACAACCACATAGAACATCTCTCCATAACGTACAGACTGTGGTAACTGACGGGTTTGGGAAGCCCCGGGGGCAGTTCAGCAGTCACTAATTGTTGCCACCACTAAGAAGGACATATGAACATCTGTGACCATGTTGGGACCTCAGTGGAGAGGAAGGCTGAGAATGATCACCAGTCCTGTGATGCTCTCCCTGGGCTTTCTGATGTCCTTACAGTGCTCTGCTCACCCGACCACTTCTCTAAGCAGCCATCATAGCATCAGATTTCCAGGAAGGAAGAGTGGACAGAGTTACAATGGTCAGAAGGAGAGGGTTATTTAAGACACACCCAGGCTCTCCTGCCCAGGTAGGTACTTCCTTCTACCCATGTTCCAGACTCTGAGAAGGACTGCCCCTTGCTGCATACACCACAGCCGACGAGGATTGCTCTTTGCTGCATACACCACAGCCAAGGAGCGATCTCTTCAGATAGCAGATTGTCAACAGATGAGTTTCAAGCAGAAGCACACGGGCCTAGAGGTTGCAGGTGGGATCCCCCGTTAATGACTCGGGATACTTCTGCACCGCACAATACCACCCCCCCCTTTCCTGGATGAGTCCAGATGTGGCATGGTGGTGCTCAGAGGAAAGGGTGAGAGCTTACTTGGTGGGACACTGGTGACCGGCCCAAACAAGCACTGCAGATGGACTTTGAGACGCTGGAGGTAGCTGGTACAGAGCCTGACCCTGACTGTCCAGGCAGAGTTGATGTACTAGACCTGAAGTAGTGCTGGTAGCCATGTCAGGGAAGCAGCAGGTGGCAATTGAGGTTCAGTGTGCCGGCCCACCGGGAGGCAGCCCCCTGGCGGTCTAGTGGTTAGGATTCAGAGCTCTCACTGCTGCGGCCCGGGTTTGAAGAGTTGAGGAGTATCTTCCTTGTCTCCACTTATTCAAGAGGGGCTAGACTTGCTCTAGAGACCCAGAGGACAGACACTGGCCTGGAGGGTAGAAGAAGCTGGGAACATCTGCACAGAGGCAGAGGGAGAGTTCTTGTCTCAGTACTTCTGTGTGACTTGGTACAGGTCACTTGCCTTCTCTAACCCCAGAGCCTTGTAGATTATATCCCAGGCTCTTTCTAACACAGCTGGAGAGGAGAGGTCCTTTGGTTGAAGCTACAAGGAACCAGCAGAGACCAAGCCTCACTCCTCTGTGTGTTTTCCTTAGTCCTCTGTCTCGTTTCCTAAAGACGTGTGTTTTGTTGGGATATGGAGAAGATGGGAATACATCCGTTCAAAGCCCAGTCCCCGAGCCCTACCTCCAGGTTGTCTCCACAGCATTGGTCCTTCTTGCCCATTTTGTCGCACAAGCCTCCCCCCAGACCTGTTTTCCTAGAGCAGGGCCACATGGCTGCCAGGATCTTATCCATTGCCTCCAACAGATGAGTCCAACCTACCAGCTGCCATTGCCCCACATGCCATCAACTGAGCCTCACTCTCCCCCAGATTACCACATCTCCCAAGACCCTTCTGCTGGCTTGTGAACCCATGTCTCTCACTGGAATCCCAACCTATACTACTCATTGTTGCAGACACTGTACAACGAAGACATCTTTGTCCAGTCTTCTAACCCCTGTAACTCCCCGTGCTCCTCCATGCTCAAATCCTGTCACTCACTCACATCACCTCCTTCCTGGTCCCGAGGGGATTCTGTTTGTTGTGTGTGTTGTGCAGTCTCTGTCTCCTCTGCATCTCTTACTCAGCCATAGGACTATTCCTCTTTGCCCCTTCAGCTCCCCATAGACACACGGGGTACTCAGGACTCTCCTCTTCCTCCGTGATTTGGCTTGTAGGCCCACTCTCAGGGCACCGTCTCTGCCTCCTCATTTCAGGACAGTTCTCTCTGCATTCTCTCTCGCAGTACCCTGGTGATCCGCTTCATGGAAAAACACCATCTGTAATTTTAGTATAAACTTGTCAACATCTGTGTTTTTGTTGCCACCTCTGAAATACAAGCTCCAGGGGTTTTGCTTTGTTCAATACTGCATTCCCAGTGCCAGGACTGGACGTTGTACACAAATGTTCACTGAGTGAAAGAGTGACTGTTGGTGCCGGGAGAATATCTATTGTCTTGCTAAGTCTGTACACATACCATCTCCCTCTCTCCTTTGAGGGACCACCCTCCCTGTTCCATCTGTGTGGCTGCTTAGGTCTGTGCTCTTCCTGGGCACAGGGCCAGGGCCAGAATTACACAAGCCTATCAGAGCATTTGTTCTTCCCTCTGGGAATGTACATGGTACCAGACTGGTTCTGGGAGCCTCAAACCTGAGGTGCTTGCTGCCAAGGTAGGGAGATACAAGCCTGTTGTTTCCAGTAGGAAAGTCCCTGGGAATGACCTTTACTCAGAGGGAAGCCAGTTAAGAGCTGGATAGAGGCAAGTTCTTGACAACAGCCTTGAAACATCTGGATCCAGGTGTGTCTGAAACCCCCACCACACATATCAGATACACAATCTTGTAAATTGCATGGTCTGTGTAAGCCAGTTTGAATCATGACAGCCTCTATTTGGAAAAATACTCATTCACACAGATAAGACATGTCTTCTGTCATCTGTCAATTTTCATCTAGCATCTAATAGAGTTTGGCATACACTAGGTACTCAATAAATGATTTGGGGGAATGATATCCAGCACTGTAAAGAAGTGAATCATCTCTCTAAAGCTCTTATATATTTCCCTGTTTTCTTTCCTGATGAGTATTTAGTCTGTAAGCAAGGAATATGGGCAGTCTCGGAGGAGGAGATTTAGCTGTTTATTTCTTTTCCTTTTCTCCCTCCTCCTTTTTCTTCCTCCTTATTCTTTCTCTTCCTTTTCTCCCACCCTTCCTCCTCCTCCTATTCCTCCTCCTCCTTCTCCTCCTCCTCCTTCTCCAACTACCTGTTGAAGAGGCCACTGCCTCTCATCTGCACCTTTCAGGTTCCCTGCATTCTTGTCCTCTTTTTCAGTTCATCCTCACATGTTTGCAATTTATCATCCCAAGCTGGTTCATGTCCTAAATCTCAAAATAACCTGGACAAGAGTGCTGTGGGATGGTCTGTATGTCAAATTGCTCTGATTGGTCAATAAATAAAACACTGATTGGCCAGTGACTAGGCAGGAAGTATAGGCGGGACTAAAAGAGAGGAGAAAAGAAAGAACAGGAAGGCAGAAGGAGATACTGCCAGCTGCCGCCATGACAAGCAGCATGTGAAGATGTTGGTAAGCCATGAGCCATGTGGCAAGGTATAGATTTATGGAAATGGATTAATTTAAGCTATAAGAACAGTTAGCAAGAAGCCTGCCACGGCCATACAGTTTGCAACCAATATAAGTTTCTGTGTTTGCTTGGTTGGGTTTGAGCGGCTGTGGGACTGGCGGGTGACAAAGATTTGTCCTGACTGTGGGCCAGGCAGGAAAACTCTAGCTACACAAGAGTGCATGTAATGACTGAACAGCAGCCCTGGGGCTCCAAGGGCTTGCCATTATCCACCCTGCCACACTGGTGCTTATACAAACTGTTCAGTTTTTATTACACCCTAGACAGGGAAAGGATGAAGGGTGTCTAGAAAAGTTCCCCCGTTCCCATCTCACTCTATGACTTGGGGAAGCAAGATACCATGTTCTGGAAAGAGCTGCTACAGGGATGTTTTGGCTGTCTCCTTTGGGTTCTCCTGGTGTTGGTGGGACATGGATCAGTCGCTCAAAGGAAAACCTTTTTATCATCAAAGATTTTAAATATACATGAAGGTAGCAAAAAGAATCATACGCTCCATCATGTGCTCATAAATCAACCCCAATGAATGCTTGGCCATCCCTGTTCCATCTCTATCCACCCACTCCTTCCTTTCTGCCTTCCCACCCCCGATTACTTTCAAGTGTATCATTTTATATGGAAATATGTTAATATGCATTTCTAGATGGTAAGACTCTTTTAAAGATATATCCCCTTTGCCGCTGGCATCTCATTGGAGCAGGTCGTTCCAGTAATGACTTCCAAGGAGCCAGACTCTTGGTCTAACACCCTCGAGAACTCCCCTCTGGCACTCATTTGAGCTTGATTGACAAGATGGCTTCCTTTGACGAATGAGACAATAAAAAAATACAGTATAAGGCAGAGGCCCCTGCCCACTGGGGCCTTCTTGTTGTGGATATTTCAGCATTCATATGATGGTGCAAAGGAGCACAGGTTGGCTTCCTTGGGAACAAGAGTCCAGAGATAGAAAAGCATAAATGAGTAGATGAGTAGAGAGGGATAGATGACAGACATGTATGAAGATGATCAGTGAGAACAGGTAGATAGCTAGGTGATAAACAGATCAATGATAGATAGATGATAGAGAGATAAAGAATTGATAATAAATGATAGGTAGATAGATTACAGAGGTGATAGATAATAGACAAAATGAAGGTGATGATGTTAGTGACAGGTAGAGAAATGCTTAAGTAGTTAAGAGCTTTTGTAGCAATTGCAAAGGAGTGTAGTTTAGTTCCCAGCACCCACGTCAGGTGGTTCATGTCACCTGTGACTCCAGCTCCAGAGCATCCAACACCTTCTTCTGGCCTCTGTGCGTGCGTGCATGTGTGCGTGCGTGTGCGTGTGCGTGTGCGTGTGCGTGTGTGTGTGTGTGTGTGTGCGTGAGTGCATGTGTGTGTGTGTGTGTGTGTGTGTGTGTGTCTGTGTGTCTGTGTCTGTGTGCGTGCGTGCGCATCAATAAATAGTAAACATAAAACTTTACATAATAGAGCCACCACTGTTGAGGCTCTATATCTATGCAAGATCATACCACACTATGTAGGATAGACACGAACCAGCCCAGCTGATGTCTGCTTAATGTATGTGACTCACAGAATCCTGAAAGAACAAAACAATTGTTCCTTTAAGCTATTGAGTTTGGGGTGGCTTTTAATGCAGCAGTAGTGATTGATACGTATACCAAAAAGTGAACAGTAATTCCTCAGTTTTGCCAAATAACTAGCCCATTCTGAAATACTCCTGGTGGCCTCATAGACTTTTCCTTTTTCATTTTTGCCTGTCACTATGAGAAATCACATGGTCTTTTCAGCCTGGCCAACTGGCACATCTCTTACATCTTCTTTAATCTATAGTTTCTCAGGCTTGTAGATTTCCCCTACAGCCTGATCTTGCTGAATGCTGTGGTCCTCTCTAATGTCTTCTTATGTCCCCCTGCAAAGAAGAAGAAAGATCAGTCTGAAAGTGTAATCAGATTAGGGCTTGATTTACTACCCCCAAGGCCACTACATGGTGGCCTATGTTCTCCCTTAAGGGTTATTGATGAGTGTTTATCTTTTCTTGAGCTACTAATTCATTAGCTGTCACAAAATGCTACAGCAAAGACCCACCCTCTAGTTTACCATTGATTATTTATTCTGATTACTTATTCATCACCAACATCATTGTCACCATCATCACCAACATCATCATTTCCATCACCACCACCATTATTATGTTCAATTTATTAGTATTGTAGTCCATCTGCACAATTTTCTTTCTTTTGAAGTATCACGTCTGGGTCTTGTGCCACAGACCTCTAATCCCAGCTATTTTGGAGACAGGCAGAAAGACCTGAAGTTTAAGGCTAACCTGGGCCACTTAGCAAGATCCTATCCTAAAAAAATGAAGAGCAACAGAGGGCTGAGAATAGAACTCATGGGTAGAGCAGTTGCCTAGTATGTATGAGGTAGTAGGTTCAATTTCCAGCATCCCTCCCCAAAAGCAAGCACAGATACCCAGAGACAGCAGGATAAATGTTTGGTTCACTCTATTTTTTGCCAGTTCTCAAAATAATGTGTTGGTTTTTAGCTCCTCCAGAGACCACCACGGTTTATTTTAGTCTTTGCATATTGTAGTGAACTTGGGAGTTTAAACGTTTTTGGTGTGTTTTTAGCATGGTGCAATTACTGTCTTCACTGATGCTGAAACAATGCTGTCTCTGACCAGTGGGAGCCCGTCCAATCAGCTGCCTTGTCATGTCGACACCAACTAAGACATCTTGTATCGTCTTCAGTAGTTTTCTTGTTTCTGGCTTAGAGATTCTCTGTCTTTGTATAGTACTTTGTCATTTCCTAATTTTAGAATGAACTCCCCCCCCCCCAAGTCTGGTGGTTCAGGCTTATAATCCCAGTTGCTTGAGAGGCTGAGGCAGGAGGATCACAAGTTAGAGGCCTTCCTGGGCTATAGTGAGTTTAGGGCCACTGGTCAGTTTTGTGAGATCCTCTCTCAAAGAGTAAAAAGAGGGCTGGGGATGTGGCTTAGCCATGGAGTAGCTGCGTAACTTGCACAGGGGCCCTAGGTTAATCCCTAGTACACACACACACACACACACACACACACACACACACACACACACACACACACACACCAAAGGAAGAAAGAATAAGAAAGAGAAAGAGAAGGCAAGTGCTTTTTCTCCAAGGAGACTTGGCCTCTTTTTGCCCTGTCATGCACGAGGTCTTAGAGGCTAACTGTGAGAGAGAGGTCTGATGGACTTTCTATTAGGACAGGAAGGCCTGAAAATTTCCAGAAGGTCAAATTGCTTGGCATAGATTTGTGTTTTTCCCTGAGATAAATTTGGAAAATTTGACCACATAAGAGCACGCCATTACCGCATCTGCAAAAAGCAGCGGCCGCAGGAGGTGACGGCTCCTCATGAATCACCGTTTTCTGTGACAATTGAGATGGAGTCTCACTTTTGTTAATAGAGGGGCCAAAGACACTGTGATTTCTGGGCTGACTGAGTCTGCATCCAGGAGACCCAAAGATGTGCAGATCCTCGGGGCAGAGAGTGGGGTCGACATTCCTGCTGAGCCTGGAACACATCTGTCCATGTGGGAAGGTTGACAGAGGTACTGGGGGACCACATGTGTGTCACAATCTGGCTTGTGAATAGTCTAAGGGTGTGTGAAGAATGGCGCTAATGTAACTTTTCCCCACACATTTTTGAGGTTAAAATGAGATGGTGATACAGAGCAACTTGGGATGGGCCATTTCCTTTGGCTTCCCCCATGGATGCTGGGAACATCCATGCTGTACTCAGACCTTTCCCATCTAGCTCTTTGTCCAAATTAATATATGTGTCAAAAAGCTCTGTTGGGCTGAAGAGATGGCTCAGTTGATAAAGTGCCACGGAGCACGAGGACAATAGCTGGACAATACCCAGAACACAGGTAAATGCTGGGTGGGTACAGCAGCCCACCTGTGATTCCAGCCTCAGAAAGCAAAGGCAGGAGATCTCCAGAGCAAGCTGGCTAGCCAGACTGGCTTCAAAGGTGAGCTCTGGGTCTAAATGAGAAAGTCTGCTTAATAAATAGGTAGGGGTGGTCCTGTATGATTCACGACATTAACCTTGTACCTCCACCTGCATGCAAACACACATGAACATGCACGCATACTCACATATCTGCCCACACACATAAATATGCATACACATGAAAAAAATGGAAAGAAAGGAAGCTGTCAATCCCCCCCCTCTCTGTCTGTCTCTCTTTCTCTCTGTGAAACTTTTGTCCAGGCTTCTAGGTTTTTTAAATGGACCTGATCCTTGCTCCTGTTATGGACCAAGCCTGAGGTCCCCTGACTTCACACCCTGGATGACGGTGACGACCGCAGTAGTGTTGTGTGTCACTGAGCACTTCCTGTGTGCCAGGCTGTGTTCTCAGCAGACGTACATGTCTCTGTCATTCGAGACACAGTCAGCTCTCTTCCGGCTCACACAGTGACTTGCTAACAGGCCTTCCCGGCATGGCTTTTTGCCTCCTGTTGTGGTTGCAAACCACATCCAGAGGAAGCCTTTGAAAACATGAGCTGGATCATGTCACTCCTCAGACGCCTTCAATGACTTTCTGCAATACTGTGAATGACAGATAAAACCCACTGGTCTGCAAGCCCCTTGCTAGATGGCACCTCCACATTAGCCATCCCAACTTCTCGGTGAGTCCATCCTCAGCTCTGTCAGGCACTCTCTCAGTCTCTGCTTATGCTGTGCCCTCTGCCTGGATGGCTTCCTTCCAGCTCACTTCTTCTCATTTCTACTCAGATGTCACTTTCCCTGACAAGACCTCCCTCATCATTCTCTATGAAGCAGCTCCCTCCATCCCCTCACTTTCTAGGCTTTCCTCCCCGGCATCTCCATCAACTGCTACTGTGCACGGTTTCTTCATTACCATCTGCCTCTGCTTCCTGCAATGTGAATGCTTGACAATGCCACCTTTATCTGTACCTGGAGCTCATGAGACAGTGACAGGCACACAATGATCCGTACATATGAGCGGAGTTCATGGTGGCTCTTAACGTCACGGCCTCAAGGGTGCCCCTTTCTCAGGCTTTGCAGATGAAGAAGTCAAGGCAGGGCTTCCACCCTCTGTCACTGACACTGTCCATGATCCCACAGCCAGTAAGTGGGAAGATGGGTGGGCCCATCAAACTACCAGTGGCCACCAACGCTGTGAGCCATGGGCTAGGCCCATGCTCTTCTCCTTTCTGCCATGACATCTTCAAAGGAATTTCTTCTTTCTCTGCAGGATCTGTAACTGCCTAGAATCTGCCAGACGGGTATTTTTTTCCTGCCTCTCTGCCTTAGAATTTTAGCTACACAAAACATAAGGCAGCTGGGGGCCCTATAACCTCCACCATGAGCAGTCCATTCCATATGCATAGGGTCCTGTGCTCTCTTAGGGTGTCCCAGCATGGGTGTGCTCCCATGCTCCATTGCCACAGACACCTCTGCTAAACAGGGCACTAGGTGGAAGATGAGAAACATACAAAAGTCACTCCTGAGACATTTCACATCTCCACCCTAGAGACCTTGGAAGTGAAAGGCCAGAGGGAAGAGGGTGCTTGAGAGGAATGGCCTCTCCAGGCCACCATTTTGATTTGATGCTGTCATTTTAACAGTGCTACATAAAAATGGCCACACTGGCATTTCCTCTCTCATCCCCCTTTTTATTTTCACTTTAAAAATCCTACTTCTAGGTGTATACTCAGAAACAACATTGATCTGTTATGTACAGTTTTGTGGACCATGACAAATGCACTTTTCCACCTCTACCTTCACAGTCATGGAACACAGTATGTCCATCACTCGCCAGAGCATCCTTTGAGCCATCCCTTCCCAACTGGCCCTGGCTGGCAATCCCCAGGAGTTTACCCATCCCTCTTGTATTCCTTTGTCCAGAATGTCTCAGAAGCAGAAGCATATGATATATAGCTTTTTGGGTCAGGCTTTGACCACTTAGTGCTAAATGCCCTTGAGGTTCATCTTGGATTTCATCACACATCTCAGGAGTGCCTCACTTTCTACAGCTGAGGGGTTTTCCATTATATGGGTGAACTACACTTTTCCCATGCTTTCATGGAAGGGCACTCAAACTGTTACCACATATATATTAAAATAATGGATAAAGTAGCAGCAGACATTCTTGGGGAGACTCTGAGATAAACACAAGTTTTTACATTTCTTGGGTGACAAGTATAGAGTAACTGGGTCACATGATACATGCTTTAACTTTATAAGAAACTGTCAAATGTGCTTTTTGGGTCGGAGACCATGTTCCTGCTGTCAGTCCTCACCGGTACTTCATATGCTATTCAGAAAAATCATTTACGCTATTCTGGGTTGTGTCATAGCAGCTGGCGAGGGATGGGGAACACCTTTGTGCTTACTGATTTCCCCTGTATCTGTGTTGAGGATGTGTCCAAACGTCTTTATATCAAAGATCTTGCCTCTTCTATTTGTGTCAGGCTGTTGTGTATCCCAAGTATTCTGCTGCCTTGTCTGGGGACCTAAGGGATGAGCACTGATTTAACATTGCTCTTGCAAGAACCTTGACCACATGCTGGAACGCCGGGGGTGAACGGGTGTTATCTAGAACTGAGAACCATAGCAGGCTGTATTCTAATTTTAGTACCTGAGAAAATTCTTCCAGGCTGTCTGGTCCAATCCCATTTTCTGCTTCTTAAAAAGGAGGCCCAGAGAGGAAGTGCTTTGCAGACATCTTACAACTAGAAGGCTGGCGAATTAGATCAAGAACTTCTACCAACTAATTTGATTTTCCAAGTTCCCAAGATCTTGTTACTGTAGACCTTAGGGACTGTGCAAGCTGTGGTCCTCGTCCCTGATAGGGTTTGGGAGAGAAAGGGAGGAAGGCAGGAACATTTGAGGGAGAGAAGATACACGCGGCTGTCCTAGTGGCTTGAAACCCTGGAGGAAACAGAGGGAAGACAAAGTTAGTTAAGCTAAGATTCTGGGAGGGAGGGTACCTCAGGGTCCAGCTTGAAGGGAAGCCCAAGAGTCAAGTTACAGCTGTGTGGATTCCATCTCACCAGAAGTATGCATACCTGGTGTGGCCATAATATATGGGCCAATGGTCACCCTCCCCATTTGGTAATAGACTTGCGAGTCTCCAAATGAGTTTCTGTTTGGTTGGCCTTATGGTACTTTCTAGCTCTGCTTTGACTATGTTTTCTCTATTGCCTTGTTTTCTGGGCCTCTCTAGTGGGGAGCACCTTGGTGACCCCTCTTTCGGTCCACAGTACAGCTGCCAGAGCTTAAATCCAGCAAGCAGCTTCTCGGATTTGCTTCGAGTTGAAATCAATATTTGCTGAGAAGAATGCATCTTAATTTCAGCAGCCAGTTCTCCGGGCGAGAATTGCTCTAAAACAAACCTCCAAACCCACAGACTTAATGCGTCCTAGTTCAGTTGTTTAGTAAATCTCGCAGTACAGAGGAAAATCCATTAGTCACCAGGCAGGGATGAGTGTGTGGGGGGGGGGGGGAGGAGGACTGGACGCTTCAAGGAGGTCCCAACAGCAAGCTGAGATGGAACTTAGAATCCCTGGGACACAGGTGGATCCCCAGCTGTGTCCCCGGACCCAACTCAAGGCTTCTCCAGTCTGCTGCAAGCCAGGAGGCCTGGCCAGGTTGTGCTACGGACAGAACACTTGGGAAGCATCTCAAGCCCCCATCCCCAGTGCCTGCCCGGGGGAAATGTTTTCTAATTGCCAATTGTCCCATTCTAAATCTACAAGGAGGTGATCGATTTTTTTTTTTCTTCAGCAGGACCAGGGGAAAGCAATCATTTACCCCAGAACACAGACTTTAATGAATCTGTGAAAAAGGCGAGGTCACCCTGATTACATCTGCCTCTGACAGCCTGGGATGGTGCTCTCAGGACTCAGTAAGTAAGCTAGGAGGGCCCGGGATCCCGGTTCAGTTTCCTTCCCTGCTTCCTGAACTCTGCTGAGTCAGACTGGATCCTGGAGATCCTCTACCTGGAAGGCAGGAGACAGGGGCTTAGACTAAGCTGAGGAGAAATTATGAAGCAGTAGCAGGACCTCTAGGGAAGAATGGAGGGCTCTTGACTCCCTACAGACAATGGCAGAATCCAGCTTTGCCACTTCCTGACTGTGTGTCTGGGCTTGATCTTGTTGTGCCTCAGTTTTCTCAAGAATAGTAAAGGACAGAGTGCTACCAGGACTCAAGGACCTGAATATAATTGGTGGGCGAGAGAGGTGACAAAGATGGCCACTTTAGTATCTTAGTTTTCCCTGTTTCCATCATGGGTTGAATATTGTCTGTTTCATGATTAAAAGCAGACAGAGAAGGGGGAAGGAGGAGCCTAGGCAGGGTTGGAAATTTACAAGAAATGGTATGGAGGGGTGCTTTCCATGGTCAAATGGGGGATATCAGACTTGAGGTCAGCAGGCAGGAGCAGGATCCCAGAGACTGCTGGGAAAGCATGCTCCTTTGCCTGAGGGAGTTCCGGCTCCACATACAACTGCACCTGCTCAGTTTAGTCTGTCTCGGAGTTTTGGGGAGGGGAGGGGCAGCCAACACTGAGAGAGGGACAGTTAGGTGAAAACAGAACAGTCCTAGCCATGGGTCTCCAGACTTCAATTCCCAGGCTTCTCTCCCATGGTCCAGTCCCACCTTGGCTTGCCTCTTTCTGCAGTTGGCCCAGGGCACCCAGCAGACAGGGAGGCAGAAAACTGAGGTGGTGTTAACGAAGGGGGAAGGAGGGAGCAGAGAGGAAGAGGTATTTTTACCTTGAATTATTTTTATTAAATGTCACAACGGCATCGCAGCACTTGGGATCTGAGTAGACAAATCAATGAAAATAATTATAGCGAACATCCTGCCTTTCCACTTCCCTCCTTGTCAGCCTCCATTGCTCCCTGGGCTGGCAGAGAAGCAGGTTGCCTCAGCTTGTACTCCAGCCCTGAGGGGAGGGAGCAGGACTGGCTCCCTCTGACCTCAGTCCTTTCTTCACTTGCTTTGTAGCGGCATGCAGGTTGGCCTGGCTCAGGGCTGGCATCTTGGAGGGAGGAACCACTCTAGCAGCAGCAGCCGCAGCGGCAGGAAAAATGAGCCAGAGGCCAGAGAGAGACAGGTAACTCCTACGAGAACTTAGACGCTGGGAAGGAAGCTTTTATTCTTAGAACCCATTTATGGCTTAGAAATAAACCTAAGAAGCCTAAATATTTCTAGTCAGGTAGTGAGATTAATCAAAGCCACATGAATGAAGTGTGCAGGAATTAATCCATCCATAGGTGTACCCAGCATCCATCCATACATACATACATCATCCACCCATTCATCCCTCCTCCATCCATCCAGCAAACATTTATCCATTCATCCTACCATCCATCCATCCAGCATTCATGCAGCGCAAACCATTTATCCACCATCCATCCATCCATCCATCCATCCATCCATCCATCCATCCATCCATCCAGCATTCATTCACTCATGCATCCTTCCTCCCATCCATCCACTCACACATTCCATGAGCTTTTTTCTAAGACCCTATAAGAAAACCTATAAGAAATTTGTTGTGTAGAAGTCCATATTTTGCTGTTTTAGAGTTACCTGTGTGTAGTGACATCTTCCACCTGCCCTCTGCATTAATGGGCTTCCTGGACCCCCTGGCTTCTGGCTTGGTTCATCCCATGGAAGCACAGCAGATGAGCTAGAGGGGGTGGGGAGTGAGGCCAGGTATTCAGTTTCCCATTTCTCCCCAGGGGCTCCTTCAGTTAAAACTCATGGTTGCTAGTTAGTGGCCATTTCCATGTGTCCTTTTCCATACTTGTGGGAACTGGGAAACTCCTTCCAGGAAAAGGTGGCTGTGGGTACCTGACCTCAGGTTCTTCCACGTTCCTGTGGCATCCTTGGCCCTGTTCCTGTCTTTACAATGTCTCCAGATGTTTTCTGCTTCCTTGGGCCCTGGCTTCCTGCTGAGACTGACTGACAGCCCATGCCATCTGGCCTGGACCTGTTATTTCATCTCACAGAGTCTCAGTTGCTCCATGGGTGTAGTGAGAGCATGAGATCTGCTTTGCTCAGGGAGAAGGGGTGACTTGCCAGAGGTGGCACAGCTGGTATAGAGGCAGAGCTTGGAGGTAAGATCCCAACTATCAAGTACAGAGCCTACTCTCTTCACTATTTTCTAAAATCTGGGGCTCCAATGCTGATGGGCTGAGCATTTGGGGGTCATGATAACAGAGGATCATGGTAGATAAAGGTCTCCAGACATTCTCCAGCTTCTCGGTACACACCTGGTTGGGCTGGTGCGGCTACCTAGCACTCCTCCCCCAGGTGAGCTTGAGGTGTGGGGCTGGGGACTGCGAGGATCTCTTCTCCTTGTTGTGCCACAGCCTATGAGAAGCCGAGTCTGTGGATCCCACTCACTGGCTGCGATCAAGGAACGCATGATCTGGTGTTGGCTGATGTCGTTAAGGGAGTCATTGCCACATTTCCTTCTTGTCTGAACAGATAGGCGCTTAGAGGAGAGGGACACAGAATTTTAAAAATTAGTTTTTATTTATGTGTATCTGTGTGTGTGTGTGTGTGTGTGTGTGTGTGTGAGAGAGAGAGAGAGAGAGAGAGAGAGAGAGAGAGAGAGAGAGAGAGAGAGAGAGAGAGAGA